AAATGAAAAGATCCTCAATTTCAGTAATTATCTGAGAAATGCAAATCACAATCACAATGAGATACCACCTCACACCTGTTATAATGTCTCTTACCAGAAATGCATTAGATGACAAGTGTTGGCAAGGATGTGGGAAAAAGGAAACCCTTGTTCCTGTTGATGGGAATGTAAATTGGTGCAACCACTATGAAAAACAGTATGGAGGTTCCTCAAAAAGTTAAAAATAGAACTATCTTATGATCCAGCAATCCCACTTCTTGGTATTTATCCAAAGGATGTGAAATCAGGAACTCAGAGATACCTGCACGTTCATGTTAATTTTAGTATTACAATAGTCAAGATGTGGAAGTAACTTCAGTGACCAACGATGGATGATGGATGAGTAAAAGGCAATATATATAAAGACCCTGTGTATGTACACACATACACACACAACAGACTATTATTCAGCCTTAAAACAAGGAAATCCTGCCATATGTAACAAAATGGATGAATGTGGAGGACATTATGCTAAGTGAAATAAACCAGATGCAGAAACACAAGCACTGCATGACCTCACTTAATATGTGGAATCGAATATAGTCCAAGCATAGAACAAGAGGGTAAAATGGTTGGTACCAGGGCCTAGGGAGATGTTGGTAAAGGGGTATACAGTTTCAATTATGGAAGATGAGTAAGTTTTAGAGATTTAATGTACAACAGTATGACTAATAGTTAACATTATTGTATATATTTGAAATTTTCTAAGAGGAAAGATCTTAAATGTTCTCATATGCAGAAATTGTCAGTTCTACCTCATTAAAGCTGGGGGGATTGAATTATGTTTTTTGTAGCCAAATTCTTGAATAATTCCTATTGAGAATCTGAAGAAAAAGTAGCTGTCTAGCAGTTTAGAGATAGATACCACTGGAAAATTCTAAAATGATGTAATATACTATTAAAGTGTGATAGATACATAAATATGCTATTAAAGTGTGATAGATAGATTATTGCTATTATTGCTGATTTTCCATTAGTGTAGCTTTAAAATTATTACCTTAATGAGAGAATGTTAAATTGTTAATGAGAGGCTTGTAGATGCAAGTGAGAAGTAGAATCTATCTCATGTAGAATTTTTTAGATTAGTTCCATAACAATAGCATTGGCTAGAGTTTTAATTAAAGTTGAATGCTGAATTTCACGTATTTTTACCTTTAATTGCCCCTGACTTTTTGTTAAGGAAAAACAGTAATTGATGAGTAATTTAACATTAATCTATTTTTTTAAGCTCAGCCTAATGAGAAAAATAGCTTCATTTTTCATATTAACATCAGTTAGATTACCTTTGAGTAGGCCTACATGTTAACTAGGTGTATTGTGCTTGTTTCATGGTAAGTATCACAATTCTTTGATCATAAATAGTCACAACCAACTCTTAAGCACAAATGGAACTCATTAACTGATGTCAGCAACTCATGGAGTGGGTAGGAAAACCAGAAAAGCAGGCCTGAAAAGAGGTAGTCTGAGATACTTCAGAGGGTTGGGAAGTGGGAACTTAAGGAATGTTTCTGCTGGTACATTTTGGTCAGGACTCCACTGCTAGAATGAATACAGTGCTTTGTCTATTTATTATTCTAAATAGACTAGTCAAGATTCAAATTCAGGGATGGGATTTTCAACCTCTCTTAATTTACTTACCTTTCCCCTAGTACTGGAGTGGTGACAGAAAGGGCTTACACAAGGATCCTCCAGGAACCTTTCCTTTTCATAGTGGCAATGACAATGTCATTTCTTCACAAATGCACATTTGCCTTTCTTGTATTCTTCTCTGAGTATCTCATGCAAGCCAATTATGACATTGGAGTTGTTTTCTAGTGACCCCAGAGAGAGGGAATATGTGTAAGAAAAAAATCTGGTAAGACATCCCAAAATAATGGTGTTTACTGTTGTAATAGATTCTCTGGACAAAAGATGCTGCTTTACACGATTTTTCTGTCAATCTTAGTTTAATACTTTTTAACACTATTTTTGTAAAAACCAGTATTAAAGTACCTTCAAAGTCCTTTTGAAAATTTTCATTCCTTTCCACTGAAATAAATTATTGCAACTAGCCTAAAAGTATATCTTAATGTGATACATTCTCATAGTCTTCTGCTTGTTTCACTTCTGGTATTCCATTCTGAGACAGAATCTAGTCTTGTGGACATAGTAGACTAAATATTTTTAAATGCATACAGATATCCTGTAAAATCAGAAATATTCAGAGGAAGCCTGTTGGAGGCATATTAATGGGATTATTCCATTAGAATCATGGTAGCAACCAGAGGTGGTGTGCAGGCTGATTTTCTCTACGGCAGGATTGTCTTGCCAGCATACTGCTAACTATCTGACAGCTGCAATAGGACTGTTGCTTTTAAAAATTAGTGGCTGGCACATATTGCTTTCCTGCTTCTGCACTGATGACTCAGAACCTTGGTACCCTAAAGTCATGGACTTCTGCTTGAGGATGCAGGTTGGCTAGGTGATATATTCTTTTTTTATTTTGGTATCATTACTCTACAATTACATGAGGAACATAATGTTTACTAGACTCCCCCCATCACCAAGTTCCTCCCACATTCCCCATTGCAGTCACTGTCCATCAACGTAGCAAGATGTTGTAGAATCACTACTTGTCTTCCTGTGCCACACAGTCCTCCCTGTGCCTCCCCCAACATTATACATGCTAATCATAATGCCCCCTTTCTTCCCCCCTCCCGCCCTCATTGCTCCCTTCCCACCCATCCTCCCCAGTCCCTTTCCCTTTGGAAACTGTTAGTCCATTCTTGGGTTCTGTGAGTCTTCTGGTGTTTTGCTCCTTCAGTTTTTCCTTTGTTCTTATACTCAACAGATGAATGAAATCATTTGATACTTGTCTTTCTCTGCCTGGCTTATTTCACTGAGGATAATATCCTCTAGCTCCATCCATGTTGTTGCAAATGGTAGGATTTGTTTTCTTCTTATGGCTGAATAATATTCCATTGTGTATATGGACCACATCTTCTTTATCCATTCATCTACTGATGGACACTTAGGTTGCTTCCATTTATTGACTATTGTGAATAGTGCTGCGGTAAACATAGGGGTGCATTTGTCTTTTTCAAACTGGGCTGCTGTGTTCTTAGGGTAAATTCCTAGGAGTGGAATTCCTGGGTCAAATGGTATCTCTATTTTGAGCTTTATGAGGAACCTCCATACTGCTTTCCACAATGGTTGAACTAGTTTACATTCCCACCAGCAGTGTAGGAGGGTTCCCCTTTCACCACATTCTCACCAACATTTTTTGTTTGTCTTTTGGATGGTGGCGATCCTTACTGGTATGAGGTGATATATCATTGTGGTTTTAATTTGCATTTCACTAATGACTAGCGATGTGGAGCATCTTTTGATGTGTCTGTTGGCCATCTAAATTTCTTCTTTGGAGAAGGGTCTATTCAGATCCTCTGCCCATTTTTTAGTTGGGTTATTTGCTTCTTGTTTGCTGAGGTGCATGAGCTCTTTGTATATTTTGGATGTCAATCCCTTATCAGATATGTCATTTATGAATATATTCTCCCATACTGTAGGATGTCTTTTTGTTTTACTAATGGTGTCCTTTGCTGGGCAGAAGCTTTTTAGTTTGATATAGTCCCACTTGTTCATTTTTGCTTTTGTTTCCCTTGCCCGGGGAGATATGTTCATGAAGTTGTTCAGGGTTATATACAAGAGAGTTTTGCCTATGTTTTTTTTCCTAAGATTTTTATGGTTTCATGGCATACATTCAGGTCTTTGATCCATTTCAAATTTACTTTTGTGTATGGGGTTAGACAATGATCAAGTCTATTCTCTTACATGGAGCTGTCCAGTTTTGCCAACAGCAGTTGTTGAAGAGGCTGTCATTTCCCCATTGTATGTCCATGGCTCCTGTATCGTGTATTAATTGACCATATATGTTTGGGTTAATATCTGGAGTCTTTATTCTGTTCCACTGGTCGGTGGGTCTGTTCTTGTGCCAGTACCAAATTGTCTTGATTACTGTAGCTTTGTAGTAGACCTTAAAGTTGGGAAGTGAGATCCCCCCTGCTTTATTCTTCCTTCTAAGGATTGCTTTGGCTATTTGGGGTCTTTTTTGGTTCCATATGAATTTTAAAATGCCAAAGATGTAAAAAGATTTGAAATCTTTTTTAAGAGGTGCCTAAGGCCTTTGGAAACAGAATTCTGCTTTTAAATTACCTTTAACCACCAGTTCAAATGTTGAAGTAGTCATGTGACAATGATCAGTTTGTGAAGCTGAAATTTCAGGAAATAAAAACAAAAAAAACATTTATTTGCAAATTGTTATTAATGAGTAACAGGTCTACAAAAATGAAAGGAAACCATGAGTTTTTATAAAAGTTTCATAATTGAAATATTTCCAATGAATTATATTGTTCAGTGTAAATTGTCATTTATTTAATTATATTCATCAAGATTTATAGTAATCGCTTCTACCAAAAATAATTACAGGACCCTCGTGGATTTTTCATTTTTTCATTTTCTGCATTTAATTTTATTTCTGTTTTGTTGTTTTTTTGAACTTAATTACTTTATTAATAGATGGAATTTAGAAGATGGAAAATCATACACATGGAATCTTTATTTCCTTTCACATTTTAACTGACAGCTAATAACCTGTAACTTAAGATATCATTGTCTTTTTCATTAAGATGTAAAGTGAAGCTTGAGTTCTTTAATCCTTTAGTAATATCTTTATGGAAAAGATAGGAAGTCTGAATTTCACAAGCAGTGATTTGTTGTAGCCTGCTGAGAAAGAATGAAAAACACATATTGTAGGAAACAAAACATCATAGCCCCAACTAGCTTTCTGTAGTTCTGTTCACAATCTGCTAAAAAGACAAAGCTCTTAAAAAGATGAATTTTGGGGGCCTAAATTGATACCATTAGGTTCTTCTGCCATTGCAGAACAATGAAGACAAAAGCACTCACCATCTTAATATTCACAGGACTGTGCTAAAGAATAATGATTTAAGATCAAGACAAGAGTTAACTGCCCACCTCACCAACCAGTGGCCTTCCCCAGGAGCTCTGGATGTCAATGCTGTTGCCTTGGATACGTTGCTTTACCGAAAACACAATAAACAGTGGTATGAGTAAGTGTAATACTTTTTTTTCCAACTAATTGCAAATTTAGTTGTACCAAAACATTTAGCAGTCCACTTGGTTTCTTAGCTGTTCTGAATTCGTTATTAGATTAAGTCAAGAATAGGATTTAAGACTACTTTAGCTTGGTAAAGTTAGATTAAGGCGGTTCATATGGAATGTTTTGAAGCCAAGGCACCCTGCGGACGTAAAATACCTAAGGAATTCTTTCACAGTATTGTACCAGCCATCTACTTCTTCTTCAGGTCACCTTCAGCCAGTCCTTCAGTTAAGTCTGTAAATTCGTATTTAATGAGCCATCTGCTTTTGAATTCTAGTTTTGTATTTGCCTTTGGATAATTTTCCTCATAGTTAGGAAACACAAAATCCTGTCTCATGAAAGGATAGAAAGATATTTCCTTGTTCTTGGTGGAACTGAAAGAGTTTTGTTCATTTCAATAAATACAATTTTTGGAGACTATTAAAGATGTCATCAGTCCACCTATGGGCCCCAAGATCCTCTTCCTATCTCTTTGTCATGTTCAAGACTATTTTATTTAGTCTTAGTGTCCCAGTGTTGAAAGAGCTACGAAATCTTAGGCTGTCTTCCTTTAGGAAGTCTTCATTTTGGAACTTGTAAATTGTATTACCTTGGTTTTTAACCACTTTCCCTTCTTGATGTATTTTTCATTATCTTTATCTTCCTATCTTCAGTTAGTTTTCTGATTATTTTCCCCCTGTCCCTCTCTATTCCCTTCTATTCTCTCTCTCCATTTCCTCACTTTTCCCTCCTTTCTGTTCTCTCTCTCCCCTTTCTTTCCTCTCTTTTCTCTTCCCTCCTTCCCTCCTCCTCTTTTTTTGCTTCTCTCTGCTCTTTTTAGAGCCCTTGCTTTTAAATCTCACTGGTAGAGCAGTAACCCTCTATCTGTGCTGCTTAGGGTGCCTCTCACTAGGTAATTAGTCAACATTTCTATAAGGAATGTTTCAGCACAGACATAATTTCCACCTGCTTTACTCTATAGTTCTACCTATTTATCAAAGGTAGAACTCAAAATAAATTTGACTTTTTGTTACTAAAAAGTTGCTAGGGGCTTTAATGCCTTTTTTGTTTGTTCTCATCAATTGTTAGAGATAAGCAGGGAAAAGTAAGCAGACTGTTTATAGAATAAATCAATAGAACTCTCTTCAACAGCTACTAAACCATGCTGCTTGGTATGATTCTAGATGACTGAGTGTTTCATGGATTAGGATTTAGTTTCCTTATATACTCTTATAAAAGTTACAAAAAACTAAAATAATCTTATGCTGGTATATAGTTTTACCTTTCTATGGCATATTTAATTAATAGAAGAATGTTAGTTGATTTGTATTTCTAATTCATGGTTGAAAAACTAAATCTGTAGCAGTACTTGGTACATTTGCCTACATAGAACATATGACACACACTTGCTTTGTTAACCGCAAAAATACTCTAACATTAAATCTGACAGTTAAAAGACTAATAATCATGCCTTTTTATTGAAACATCCATCTTGTCACTTTAGATAGTGGGAGGTAAATATTGTAGCTAAAAAACACATGTACCCCTGCCTGCCTGTGCAGCTATCTATTTAGGAAGCAGGAGTCTACGTGGAAGGTCTATTTCTAGTTTACCTTTGCATGCAATAATAGTGAGTGGTTTTTACAAGGTACTGTAGCTACAGCGAAAGTAATTGAAGTCACAGAAAAGAAAGCAGTGAAGCTGTCTCTTTAGCATAGATCCAGACTGTTACTCCATTAGCTTAAGAAGGGACACTTTTCCTTTCCAGCATCATCCTTTAATCTAGCCTGACCAAATGTTGGAATTACTTTTAGGTGGCTCTGTTACTGATATCCCTGTACAGAGAATGTGCATTAGGGTGTAGGATGGAGATTGCTAGACCTAGAGTTGAAAGTCAAGACTTACAAGTAGCCCCTACTGCTTACTTGCTGGGTAACTCTAAGCAATACTCCCTCTTCTTACTTTTTGTTTCTGCACATGTAATACTGGGGATATGCCTATTTAAACAGAATTACAAAGGTTAAGTGACGTAATAAATTGGCATTTAAAAAGCTTCTCAGTGAAACTTTATACATATAATCATTATCTTTATTCTCATATAATCTTGTATTGTCCTTGTTTAGAGTATATACACTCATCAAACATCCCAAGCTCTGCTTTCTTAACTTGTAAAACCTTATGTAAAATCAAAATGACCAGGAAATCCCCAGTTGTTCTCAATAATCTCAATAAATCTTATAGTATGATGTTAATGAGTGTAAAATTCTAAGGTAGGACTTAGTGATGACCTTTTAAAGACAGAAGTCCTATAGACAGTTTACTCCATGACAGCAACGTGTTTGTCAGATGGAGCTACCAGTTACAGGAAATCCCCAGTTGTTCTCAATAATCTCAACTTTTTCATATAGAAATGGAGACTTTGGGTGTTCAGAACAGAGTAGTGCTCTATAAATCATGTTTGACACAAACTATAGTTTTTTTATCAGGATCAAATTTTTCACTCTTTTAAATTTATAATATAAGCCAAAGGTCTTTAACCTGATCACTGATTCCTCTTAATTTGACCAATGTCTTTAAGTTCAACAGATGTTTATTGAGAACCTACAAATTATGGAAGAAGTGTCACAATCTCTTAATAAGGAACATTAGCTCTTTTGATAATTGGAGAAAGAAAATGACACTATAAATTAGTCATTTTTAATTCTAATTGCCTGCTAAGAATATAGGCTGTCTATACCTAGTTCTCTAGATGCTCTGTAACTTCATTGACCCAGTTGGCTTTGAGAAGATAGTGTGCTATTTGTTTTAATGAATTTCTTGGTCTTACTGGTATTTCTTAAATTGAGCCATTGGATAACTTGGCTGTTTTCACTTACTCATAGAAAGATCCTTTTCACAAAAGAAGATCTTAAATTTATTTCCATTTACTATAATATTTGTAAAACTTAAGCAACATCATTTCTAGTTTATTTGTTTATTTAGACCTGGTAAAATGAGATTTTCTTGATTTTTTATCTTTTCCATTATTTCAAACTTGGGAATATCATATTAAAACATTTTTTAAACATTACAGGCTTTCTGTAAAAACTCTAAGTAAGTATATAAAGCACATTTCCTAAATATATATATAGAGCATACTTCTTTGTTTCCAGTAAATTCTGTTTTAATATGTCACTTTATATGTAAAGCCTGGGTCACATGAACTTGTTAGATACTGATTATATAATCTTGTATAATTTGGATGAATATATTTGGATGAATATTTGGTAGAATATTGTCTAATCCATTTATCCCCATCCCCAAATATCAGATTCATTGTCATGATATTTACATTTTCTGCTTAAACTTTTTTAGTCTTCTAAATTTACCATTGTCTCCCAATTTGACTATCATTCACAAGATTATTGAGAATTATGCACTTTTATATGCCTTCGTGATCTACTTCAGGCTAGTTTTTCTTAAGGTCATCTGATAAGTATACATAATCACTTCAGATTTATTAGAGGTTCTCCTTCCCATGTGTGTCTTCCTAATGTTTTTGGAGTAGGGCTCCCTAAAACACTAAAGCTGCAAAAATCTTTCACAGCTTGTAAGTTTCACTTGGATCTATAAGGAACATTAGCTCTTTTGATAATTGAAGAAAAATCTTCCTTTTCCTGGATCATTTATATTGGGAAATTATAATGAATTCTGATCCACATATATATATGTGGATCAGAATTCATTATATATATACAATATAAATGATCCAGGAAAAGGAAGATTTTTCTTCAATTATCAAAAGAGCTAATGTTCCTTATAGATCCAAGTGAAATTCATTATATATATATATATATATATATGGAAGGACTCACATATATCCTTCCCTTTCAGGCTCCCTGGCATCTTTCCACTAATTTTAGTAGATTAAGAGTATAAAGATATTCTGCTATACCAAATGCTTATTCTGTTACTTCAACATTTTCTGTGAAAATAAAGCCAAGAATAAAAACAATAGTATATCTCTGTTTCCATGGACATTCATGTGCCTTGGTATGTACAGTGTATATATCTTTGTTTTTATTTTCTAGATGTAGATAATGTCTCTGTGTATCGTACTCTCTGTTGCCCAATGACTACAAGCAACATAAATTGTTATCATCTTAATAACATCTATTGGGCAAATGAGTAATCTATGTCATTACTTCTTTTTGTTGATGTGTAAACTGTAAGATTGTATAATATTTACTGATAAGTGAATCCAGGCCTATTGCTCAGTTTCCTTTTAATTTGCCTTTATTTGGTACCCAATTATGTGTATAGAAGTATGTTTTTGAGTAATTTAAAAGGTCTAAATAGTTAGATATTGAATGTTATAAATTTTAATTTTGTCCCAAATGCTTATGACATGACATAATTCCTACAAGATTAATGTAAATTATATCGAACAATGTAATGGCATAGAATAATAGTCATAATGCATGGCTCAACTGTCAAGCTTTTATTTTAATTAAGTGAGCTATTGCTATTTTTAAGATTCTATTCTGAGAAATAGCAATAGACTATTTATTGGTTTGCTATGTCTGGTGAGTTACATTTAAATCTTATAGTATGATGTTAATGAGTGTAAAATTCTAAGGTAGGACTTAGTGATGACCTTTTAAAGACAGAATTCCTATAGACAGTGTACTCCATGACAGCAATGTGTTTGTCAGATGGAGCTGCCAGTTACATTGGAATCAGGTAGGAATGTGGAAACCCGACCCATTCTTTGTCATTTCTGAAAGCAGCTGTATTAGATTCCTCCCAGATGGTCTGTAATCCCTTCACGCAAGGAAAATACTGTGTGGTGCTGTTCTTAATATCTTATGAATCAGGTGCTTAATTCTGGCTTGGAATTTTCATTACTGCTTCAGGACATCGTTGTCTACCAGATTCTACTTTTACAGTCAAATTGTTGGTTAAGTAAAGCCTATAAACTCATGGATTGTTCACTAATTGTGACAAATTAAAGGGTAGAAAGATTCCAAATCATTTTGGATTTGGAAGTGTAATACCTAAGTGGAAATTCAATAGGTCATGCAAAGAGTTCATTCTGTGTTGCTGTTACCAGAGACTGATTTTACAAGCTTTCCTCTGTCAAGTGGGTAACAGTCCTTGAGATTACTGTGAATGTGTGCTCTCAAGCTCTCAGTGCTTACTTATAATATTTAAATGAATTAGTTGTCTTTTTTGCTTCTGGATATTTTGGTTGTAAATATTTCCATATATAATTTTTTAAATTTAATAATACTAATTTAACAAGTTTTCTTTGATGAAACATCAGTGTCAGAAACTCATTTTAAGCCATTCAGTTTAAAAACAAGTCTCCTTGTTATGCACAGGAAAAAAATTTGGGTAAGAAACTTGTTTATAACTTATTTTCTTAAATTCCTGTGTTCCTGTTTTCTGTATAGCCAAGGAAATAAGATTTCAATGGAAATCAAATTTTTCAGTGATATGATTAAATACAGTATAGTTTACATAGTCTGTCTCAGCCAATAAGGCTGTACTTAAGAAGGGTTTCTAATAAACCAGGAAACCAAATCTTTTCTCCATATTCTTGAGAGGAGATAACATAGTAGTTTAGGGGACAGAATTAGAGCTACCAGGTTCAAATCTAATCTCTTTGTGCCCCTGTTTCCCCTGCTATAAAGTGGGGATAGTAATAATTCAATATCTTAGGATAGTTGAGGATTAAATAAGTTAATATATATGTATAATACATGGAACAGTGTCCAACCTTTGCAAGTGCCATATGAATATTAGGTGTCTTTTTTTATTATTATATGTTGTATAGCTCATATATATTTTATCTACTATAATTATCATGTTTCCTACAATAGTAGAATTTCCTGCTACTTAAAAATATAATTTAAGAACTATACTCTCAACATTTGAAAAGTCACCACGTTATAAAGTTGAGAACACTGTGAGCCTTGTAAGCTAGCAAACTTATTTCATACCCTCATTCTTCATTTCTTAGAGGAAAAAACCAGATACCTGTTTCATATCTCCCCTCCTTGTGTGTGTGAATAGAGAATAGCTATAGAAGAGATCATTTAACTCATGTGTGCTTTCCCATACCGTTATCATGGAATATATGACATCTCTAGAAAATTAGATAGGATTTGTCTACCTTGGGAAATAGATGCTGAACCTGAAAAAAATCTTCCTTTTCCTGGATCATTTATATTGGGAAATTATAATGAATTCTGATCTTTTACTTGAAATGTCAGTAACACCAAACCTACTTATATCTCTTGAGTTGGTTTAATCCTGACAAAACAAATATGAGGAAAGTTAATAAACCTTGTTAACTTTTAATTTATAGCTAATTTTTTTCCTATTATAATTCATTTCTGATTAATTTGTTTAATAGAAAAAGGGCCCACAATAGTAAATAGATGAGGGAAAGAGGTTAGTTATCTTAATAGTGTATTAGCAAACAGCTATTCTATTACCCAACATTTTTTGAACTTCTAAATTACAGAGATATATAATAGTAACTTATTATTGTTATGTAAAAACTGTAAAAATATCAAGGCATTGAAGAACTTCAAAATGCTTAGGAGGTACTAGGTCATTGTTAAGTTAAATCAATTTTGTTTCTGCATTAAGAGAAGTCTTATATTTTCTACTCCTTTGACAATTGATAATAATCAGAAGCCTCGAATTTCTTAACTAGCTGGATAATAAAAAAATTGGTGCAAGGATTTAAATTTGCTAGACAATTGTTTTTCTTTTCCTTTTTAAAAAGATCTCCAAAAAGGGTGGAGGGGAAAATATAGTGGAGATCCTATTACAGCCGTGAAAAAGACAGAATTTAGGGGAGAAATTAACCAGAAATTCAATATATTGAAGAAAACCATTAAAGAATATTGCTAGAAATTATTTTTGGTGAGAAGAAATTCAAGTAGCATTTCACTCTTGTTTTACAGAAAAAGTCATCAAAGCCTTGACCAGTTCTCAGGTGAAGCTAGCCTTTCTCAGACGCCACTAGACCCTGGTCAATCACAGGAAGGAGATGGAAAACAAGATACATTAAATTTAATCACTGAAGGTAAGAAGAAAAATGCTATTTGAAAATTACTTTTCCCAGCACTTTCTATACTTTTGTTGCAGAAGATTATTGAAGAAAACTAGTGAACATTTCTGTGAGGCATGCTCGGAACTAAGTTGCCATTTTATGATTAATAATGGTCTGCTCTTGTTTTTTTCTCGTGTTTGTGGCTGACTTTCTTGAGTGATTGTTGTTTTGCTTTTATTTCCTCACTTCCTGAACTTTTTACTCACTCCAATTTGGTTTTTGTGTTTGTACCACTTTCTAAAATGGCTTTTATCAAGGTGACTGATCACTGCCATATTGCTAAAGTCAGTTCTCTGTCTTCATCCTATTAAATTTCACAACATCTTTTAGTATAACTGACCATTTATTCATTTTGGGGGCACTTTTACTAAGTATTCTGAAAAACTTGGGGGATAAATATGAGAGTTTTATTTTTTCCTGTTACTGCTTTCAACTTTGCTCTATCATTCTCTCTTTCCAATCTGTTGCATCTTGAACATCCCAGTCCAATTCCATAATTTTTTGGGCCACTTTCAATGATGAAATTTCAGTTTTTAAGACTCAGCCTATTCATTTTTAAAACATCAACCTCTTAGTTGGTTCCCCTCTTCTCTCCTACCTCAGCATAGGTAAGAGCTGTGACTCTAGCACTTTGGGTTGGACAAGTGGTGCTGGTGTGATGTGGTGCTCACATTTCTCTCTCTCTCTTCCCAGTCCCACATCTGCTGCTGTGTGTGAGAGGTAGGGAAAGATGGACAGTTCCTTACCTCTGGCGAAGTTGCATTCCTCTCTGCCTCCAATTTCTTTGTGGTCTGTTCCATGGCAGTAAATGGCACCACTGTACACATTATCCTAGATTCTACCCTTTCCCCTTAGAACTGCACGTCATTTTATCAGCGAGGCTCATCAGCTCCCCATACAACACCTGCTGCATTAGCATCTCCATCACTGCAGCCCTGGCCTAAGCCTCTTGGATGGGCTACTGTCACTGTCTTTTCACTGGTCTTTCACCTCATTCGTGCCCCTTCACAGTCCATTCTTCATTCAGTCATCAGTGATCTTTAAAAACATAAGTCAGAAAATGTTATACCCTCATTTAAAATTCTCCAGTGGCTCTTAGTGACAGTCAGAATAAAATCCAAACTGTTTATCATGGCCTCCTACATGATCTTGTCCTTGAGATTCTGGCCCCCCATCATACCATTCTTTGCTTGTTCTCAGCACCCCAACAAACTGACCTCCTAGCTATTCCTTCAAGCTGGTTCCTATCGTAACTATCTTTGCACTTGCTTTTCCAGTGCCCTGAAACTTCTTTCTTAAGGTCTTTGCATAACCTATTTATCAGGTCTTTGTTCAAATGTCATCTCAAGAAGTTTTTGTTGACTGCCATACTGTAAATAACCACCCTATCTCCATATCTGCCTCACCCCAGGCACTTTATCATATTGCCATATTGCCATATTATGATTTTTGTCTGTACCTCCCCACTAACATGTAAGCTTCATGAGGGTAAGGGAATATTACCTGTATTTTTCACTATTGTATTACCAGTCTGACATAGTAGACAGCTATTAAATATTGTTGGTAGACTAAATACATAATGAAAGTCATTGAATGTTTGAACCAAGGTGAGGTACAGGTAGTATAAAATAAAAATTCATTTAACTACAAGGCTCAGACAATGGAAAAATTGTGTTAAGTTGAATTTTCTGTTCCTTTTAAGATGGTAGTAGAAACATTCTCAGAGGGCCTAAAGTCTGTTTTAACTGTCCAGTAAATAGTTATATTGACTATAAAAGAATCTTTTTTTGATGATGTGGATAATAAAGATAGCATATTAGAGTGTGTTAGTGGTACTAATGTAAATGGAAGAGAATAAACTGGATTCACTGCCATAACTTAGAATACATATACTTAAAAAAACTATATATGAATGGATTTGTGATCAGTCTTCAGATAAGGGGCACATTTATTTAGATTTTAATCTAATTTCTAATAATATGCATTTTAATATCAGTAGGACTAGATTTGATCATGAATGTTTTTATACTACAGAAAAGTTTAGAGGAGGGGGAAGGGATGAATAGGTAAAGCAAAGGGAATTTTTAGGGCAGTGAAACTATTCTGTATGATGTTATAGTGGTGGATAAATATCATTACAAATTTGTCCAGCCTATAGAATGTACAACACCAAGAGTTAACCCTAATGTAACTGTGGACTTCGGGTGATAATGATGTGTTCATGTAGGTTCATCAGTTGTAATAACAAAATACCACTTGGTGAGGGATAATGATAATGGGGGAGGCTGTGTGTATATAAGTGAGGGATTGATTTATGAACAACCCCTACGTTTTGCTTAGTTTTGCTGTGAACCTAAAACAACTCTAAAATATAAAGTATATACATATGTAAAAAAGTATTGGCTTTAAGAATTCAAGGTTAAGTAAGAGATTCAATATTACTTATGGAATTTTTATACCAAAATGTCTAATAAAGTGATTAAAAAAAAGAGTGTTAGCCAAAAAATTCACCAACTGAAACCCAACAACAAAAAGGGCTATATTTAGGATTGTGTAAAACAGAAGTTTTGAAAAATTAAAGGACATACATCCTTTCCACCCTCAGCATTCTTCCCCTCTAGTAAAAGCCATACAGTAAAGAAACTATACTTTGATACACTGATACAGAACGATGCTCTCCAATTTAAAATTTCGTAAACCACCAAAATCAGCTAGCTCTCTCCACAGAAATCCTGAGGAGCAAACGCTCTTTTTTCAAAATTACTCTTCTTAAAAAATTCACCTACATTGAGAAAAACAATTCAGCTGATGAAAACCTCCCCCGCAAAACAGTAGTAAAACAGGAAAAAATACTATAATACAACCATATAATTTTATTAAATAGCCTCAAGCAAGCATTTAAAACTATGATAAAAATGTTTAAATTAGGAATCAATAAGAACAAAAATGTTTAAGAAACAGGAAGAAATGAAATGACTTGATTAAACTCTAGAAAGAAATGGAAGAAAAAGACAAAATTATATCAGAAATAAATATTAAATTATAAGTTAAGGAAGAATAGACTTGAATGAGAACTTAGTATAGGACATTGAAAACAGCCAAGAGAATGAAAATGAGACAAAGTAAAATGGATTAGGGAGTGGTTGAATTGGAAATCAAAGAAAATCGAATTTATGTATCAGTGGAGTCACTGAAGAAGTGGAGTCATTTAACAGTGGAGCAGAACTGTAATACTGAAATATGTAATCCAAGAAAAAAATGCCTGGAAATAAAAGAAGACCTAAATCTACAACTTGCTAGGGCTAAAAAAGTACCAAAGAAAAATTAACCTGTAATAATCAACTCCAAGACATATCCTAGTAAAATTATTAGGCATTAATAATAAAGAAAACATTCAGGGCTTCTAGGCAAAAATATCAAATAACTTACAAGGGGAAGGGAATGAAACTAGCATTATACTTCTCTAGTTGTATAAACGTTAACAACTAGAAAAAATAAACCATCCTAAATAACATGAAATTAAAACAAAAAGCAAAGAAAACTTGTTACTGTGTAGAAAAAAAACATAGCTAATAAATATAAACTGAATCTAAAATATGACAATGAAAAGTCTGCATAACAGTTTGCGACATTTACTTAAAGCAATAATCAGAGCAAGATTAATAACTTTTACTTTTTCATTAAAAATGAAGGAAAATAATTCATTGTCCAGCCCAAAAAGCTAGCAAGAGAACAACAAAGTAAAAAGCACAAAGAAAATATGAAGATAAAATCACTAATTAACGTGATAGAGAATAGAAAAACAGCCAATTAATAAATCAAAAATCTATTTTTTAATTAACAAGTTAGAGACCTAACTAATTTTATCACAAGAGGGAGAAAGCACAAATAAAAGTAAAAGCATGATGTAATACAGTATGAAAAAGAAAATTATCCAGTATCACTTACGTATATTAATATAAAAGTTCTAGATAACATATTAGTGAACAGAATCTAGCAATACATAAAGAAAGTGATACACTACAATGAGGTGGATTTAATCCAGGAATGTAACGTTAATTCAGTATGGGAAAATACATTAATATAATACACAATATTAATAGGTCTAAAATAGAAAAGCTTATCTCCACAGACGCCATAAAGCCCTGGGACAGATTTCAACACTTGTGTGATATAAACATTCAAGAAAAAAAGAATAGAATAATACTTCTTTTACATGAATATGTGTATATGTAAGTCTTTGTCCTAAAGCCAGCATCTTACTTAATGGGGAAATACTAAGATACCCATTGTTTCTACCACTGTTTAACACTATACTGGAGGTATTAGCTAATGCATTAAAAGGAGAAACTTGTCAAGACATGTGAATTGGATTTAGCAGATGCTATCATAAACTGGATAACAGAGAGACAGTGATATTAATTAGACAATAAAAGTAGTCCTGTGAAGTAGCAGGATATAAAATTGTAGAAATCAGTAGCCTTCACATGTAGATACAATAACCAATGAGAGACTCTCTTGGTGGGGGGGAAAATAATTTAAATAGCAACAGAGAAGATAAAATATTTAGACTTTGCATGCTTCTTGTTAAATTATTCCTATATGAGGGAAGCTAGAAACCATTCTTAAGGGAGGTGGAAGTAGACTGAAGCAAATGGGAAGAAATACTTTTGAGTTTTCCTCAAGTTAATGTAAAGTTAGCACAGTTCTACATATGCCTTTAGTTTTTCATCTGGCCATCTCACATCTTGCAAATCGCCCTGATGATACACCTATGCAACCCAAAAACAGGTATGTACAGGTTATTCTACTTAGTATTCTTGCACATCTGCACTTGTCCCTTATTGTCCCAAGTTGTATGTGTCAAAAGTTCATTCTTTTTTATTGCTAAAATATGTTATGTATATATCATGTTTGTTTCTATTTTTAAACTCTTATTTTAGTTTTATCCAAGGGCTGTAGAGCTGCTACAA